TAAAAAGGACATGGAGAGGGATACCTCAGTTGTTTAAGCATCTGATCCTTGATCTCAGCTCAGGTCTTGATCTCAGGGTTATGAGTTCAAAGTCCACACTGGGCTCCATACTGGGCATGGAGCCTACAATCAATCAAACAAAATAAAGGACAAGGGGAAATTTTGGGGTGATATATGCTCATTATTTACATTGTGGTATTGGTTTCATGGATGTACACTTACATCAAAAGTCATTACATTGGGCGCCTGGGTGGCTCAGTCAATTGGGTGTCTGCCTTCAGCTCAGGTCATGATCCCAGGGTCCTAGGATCGAGCCCCATATTGGGCTCTCTGCTCAGCGGGGATCCTGCTTCCCCTCTTCCTCTGCAACTCCCCCTGCTTATGCTCTCTTGCTGTTTCTGTCAAATAAATAAATAAAATCTTTTTTTTTTAAAGTCATTAGAGGGATGCCTGTGTGGCTCAGTCGGTTAAGCAGCTGCCTTCGGCTCAGGTCATGATCCCAGAGTCCTGGGATCGAGTCCCACACCAGGCTCCTTGCTTGGCGGAGAGCCTGCTTCTCCCTCTGCCTCTGCCTACTATTCTGTCTGCCTGTGCTCGCGTGCTCTCTCTCTCTCTAACAAATAAATAAAATTTTTAAAAAAAAAGTCATTATATGTACTCTCTAATATGTACAGTTAGTTTACTGTGTGTTACTTATACCTCCCTTAAGATGTAAAAATAGGGGCGCCTGGGTGGCTCAGTGGTTAAGCCTCTGTCTTCGGCTCAGGTCATGATCTCAGGGTCCTGGGATCGAGCTCCTCATTGGGCTCTCTGCTCAGCAGGGAGCTTACTCCTCCCCCCCTTCCTGCTTCTCTGCTTGCTTGTGATCTCTGTCAAATAAATAAATACAATCTTTAAAAAAAAAAAAAAAAGATGTAAAAGGGTGCCTGGGTGGCTCAGTCACTGGGCCTCCGCCTTTGGCTCAGGTCATGATTCCGGGGTCCTGGGATCGAGCCCCGCATCCAGCTCCCTGCTGCTCCTCTGCTTGTGTTCCCTCTCTTGCTGTGTCTCTGTCAAATAAAATCTTTAAAAAAAAAATTTTTTTTAAAGATGTAAAAATAAAAAAATATAACCAAGAAAAAATTTATATTATTCACCTGCTCCAAAATCTCCACTGACTTTACAAGCCATTTGGAATAAATGCTGAACTCCCACGAAGGCTTCTGAAGCCACATGTGATTTGGATCCTCCTCCTCCTCTCTGCCCTCATCACCCACCACTTGCTTCCTCATTCATTACGCTCCCTCACCCTTTCTGCTCTGCTTGAACATACCTTGCCTGATCCTACCTCAGGGCCTTTGCTCATGCTGTTCTACCTGGAATATTCTCTCTTGATATCACAGACACCCACACTACTCACTCCCTCACTTCCCCTGGTTTTCTGTTCCAATGTCAGCTCAGAAAACCCTATTTTGATGTAGCACCCTGTCACCCTTCAAGCCATTATCCTGCTTGATTGTTATTTATAGCACTCACTGCTTTTTTTTTTTAAAGGTTTTATTTATTTGACAGACAGAGATCACAAGTAGGCAGAGAGATAGGCAGAGAGAGAATAGAGGAAGCAGGCTCCCCGCTGAGAAGAGAGCCTATTTCGGGGCTCGATCCCAGGACCCTGGGATCATGACCAGAGCCGAAGTCAGAGGCTTTAACCCACTGAGCCACCCAGTGGGTTCTTGACATCACATTATATGTGGATTTTTTTTTTTCTGTCTTCCCCATTACAGTTGAACTACCAAGACCAGGAACTGTCTTTTTATTTTCACTGCTGCGTAAGTAAGTGCCTGGTATGTGAAGTAGCACTTACGGAAACAATTACGAAGTAAATGAATTAATGAATGAATCAAACTTAGCCAAGGCTGATAGCTAGTAAGTGGGGGTTGGAACTAAAACCTCGATTTCTCTCATGCAAATGCGCACAACTTGCCTGCTGTGCTGCACAGCTGCACAACTCCTCGGGATTCTCTTGCGAGGTGGGCACCATGATTTGCAGGAGGGAAAGCAGGGTGAGGAGGGAGAGTCTCTTACCCCACCCCAGTCACACATCAACTCTCAGGCAGGGTCAGCTGACATCTGGATTCTGGGGCTAGCTGCAGAGGGCAGGCACATGACCCTAGCCCACTGGCAGGAGCCTCCAAGAGAGGAAGTTCAAAGATCCCAGTGCTGACAGTGCACTGCCCACGGGTGCTGACTACAAAGGTTTCTGGGAATGCTGGGTTCAAACTGCCTTTCAAGCAGTTTCATGCCTCACTGCCTTTGTCTAGCGGCTCCTGCCTGGAGTGCTGTTCCTCCTTGAACTCCCCAGCTTTTCCTCGTCCTGGGAGACCCGGCTTCAGAACCACCTCCCGCACAATGTCTTCTCTGAGCCTGTAGCTCCTCGAGTTCAGAGTCCCGCCCTCTTGTGGGATTTGACTGGCTGAATGAATGAATGAATAGCACTTATCCACTTTCATTCATTCCTTCAACTATAAATATTTACTTGGTTCCTGTTTTGTGCCAAACACGGGGCATACCACCATTGATCACTGCCCTCAAATGACCTAGGAGGGAGACAGCTGTCACAGTGAACAAAAGGGCATGTGACCTCACTGGCCAGTGAGAGGCTTCCTGCCGCACAGGGATCTAACCCAAGGCCTGTAGTAGGAGTCAGCCCTTTGAAGAGGAGAGGGGGAGTGTTTCTGGCGGAGGCCTGAGAACAGGAAAAATGTGGAGCATGGCTGGAGCTCAGACTACCAGTGGTGGGTAAAGAAGGAGCTAGAGGCATCCATAGGGACCTGACACACACACAAAAATATTTTTCCAGCTACACAGAGTGAAGTGGAGAGAATAATTCAACTGAGGAATCAGTGGGGAGGGTGGGAGTGGGGCAGACTCTTAATTTGGGCAAAGTTGGCAGGAAGGATTCCTCTCCGAACACACACCCTTCCTGAGGCTCCTCTCTATCTCCTATTCCTGGAGGTAGGGGACGAGCAGAGACATAGGCCCCTTTAGGCTCTACCACACAAGCGACCAATGACTGATATTTCATGGGGACCTGTTAAAATGGCTTCTTTTTTTTTTTTTTTAAGATTTTATTTATTTATTTATTTGACAGAGAGAGAGATCACAAGTAGGCAGAGAAGCAGGCCGAGAGAGGCGGGGAGGCAGGCTCCCCGCCAAGCAGAGAGCCAGACCTGGGGCTCGATCCCAGGACCATGACCTGAGCCGAAGGCAGAGGCCCCAACCCACTGAGCCACCCAGGCGCCCTTAAAATGGCTTCCTATTGATTTGTTAGGAGTTAGCCAGAAGAGGGGTCCCTGGGTAGCTCAGTTGGTAGACCATATGACTCTTGAGCTCAGGGTCATGAGTTCAAGCCCCACTTTGGGTATAGAAATTACTTACTTACTTACTTATATACATACATACATACATATATCCACTTAAAAAAAAGTGTGAAAAAACCTGGGCCTTCTCAGATCCTCCACTTGTCATGTCAGACACAGAAATAGCAAATAAGGTTCTGACCTTGGGTAAACTCAGCAGCTAGTCTGTCTTCCTTGTTGAGTAATCTCAGATTCTTTATCTCTGAGCCTCAGTTTCCTCACCCGTAAAAATGTGCAGAATAACAACATCTTACAAGGTTGTGTGAGAAGGAAATATATGATGATTTGATTCTAACAGTGAGGATTTCGCCTCACCACCAATTTGCCAAAACAAGTTAAATTGGTAAAATCCACCACAGTGGAACAGTGAGATTAAACCAACAGATGGAGCTGTTTGAGAGCAGCCAGAAGCCAAGCCTTGATAACTTGGATTTCCAGAAGGCCTGACTGGAGAGGGTAGACTGGCTCTAGGAAGCAGATGTTCCGGCCTTACCCTTGCCACCAACCCACAGGGACCAGACCACTGTATCCTGGTCTTCTTGGTACTTGATTTGCCATCCCCCTTTGTGGCATCAGGGAGGTAATGAAGAGTGAGACAAACTCAGATGTGAGTCTCAGCTCTGCTCTGTGACCTGAGACAAGCCTCAGTCTCCTCGGCTCTAAAATAAGCACACTATGACCCTCTCAAAGCTGTCATTCAGGCAGTGTCAAGGACTGACCATCGGTCCTCATAAATGTTAGTTGTCCAGGGGCGCGTGGGTGACTCAGTGGGTTAAGTCTCTTCCTTCTGCTCAGGTATGATCTCAGGGTCCCGGGATCAAGCCCCACATTGGGCTCTCTGCTCAGCAGGGAGCCTGCTTCCTCCCTCTCTCCCTACCTGTTGCTCTGCCTGCTTGTGATCTCTCTGTCAAATAAATTTAAAATAAATAAGTAAATAAGTAAGTTAGTCCAGTTAGTTAGTCCAGTAAGTTAGTGTCCAGGCCACAGGCCAACTGCACTCCCTCTGGAATAGCATTTATCTATGTCTGTCGGGCCTCCTACCAGCCTTGCTGGCGTCCCTCTGTGGGCCCTGAGGCCCCGCCCAGACAGGTGCTGAGGCCACGGGGGTGGGGTGGGTGGGAGGACGGCTGTTAAACATTGAAGCTGACCATTGAACCGGAGGCCCTGAGAGGCCCTAGGCCGGGGCTCATGGAGCTCCGGGAAAGCAGCACCTGGGTGGGGCGGTAGGGAACAGGCACCTATAAACCATCAGCTTTCTAGAGTGGTGTCTCCAGCTCCAGCAACAGGGGCCCAATCTGGGCACTGCCCGGAGAGTGGGCTGGAGAGAGAAGCCCGCCGGTGGAAGGAGGTGGACGGTTCATCTCGGGCCAGTGTGTGTTGGGTTCTCGTCCTTCACTCGTCCTCCTCCCCACACTGCCTTCTTTAATCTGACACCCCGAGACGTAGGGGTTATTAGAGAACGAAGCTGGGGCTCCTAGGGAGGAGAGCACGTGCCCAGGTGTCTCTCGCGCCGGGCCGAGGGGCGGGGCCAGCCGACGGGACGGGGCGGGGCGGGGCGGGGCGGGACGGGACGGGCGGCTGGCCTCGGGAAGCCCCGCGGCTGCCTGGGCCGGCTGGACCGCGACACTGGGGCCATGGAGGCGGGGGGCTGTCGTTACCAGTTCCGGATCGCGCTGCTGGGGGACGCGGCCGTGGGCAAGACGTCGCTGCTGCGGCGCTATGTGGCGGGCGCGCCCGGAGCCCCCGATCCCGAGCACGAGCCCGAGGGGGCGCCCACGGTGGGCGTCGAGTTCTACAGCCGCAAGCTGCAGCTGCAAGCGGGGCCGCGCGTCAAGCTGCAGCTCTGGGACACGGCGGGCCACGAGCGCTTCAGGTGCGGACCCGGCGGGCTGAGGGAGTTGGCGGGCGGTCTCCCCCCCACCCCCACCCCCAGGGCTCGGCCTCAGTGGCCCAGGTGCGGGTCTGGGGGCCCCTGCCCTGGTCTCTGGCCCTCCACGCGGAGTCGTTCGTCCCACAGATGCAGCCGGGTGGGCCAAGCCCCCTGAGCCAGAGGCCTGAGTCCCGGAGGGATGGGTGGCCCGGCTGCTGAGCGAGCCCACCGGAGCCGAGCGGGAGGTGCCGGGGAGATGGGAAAGGAAGAGAGGTTTGGGGCGGCCTGGAAGGAGCGTAGGAGTCTGCCAGGCAGAGAACGGGAAGCAAAAATCTGCCATCAGGAAAACACCCCTCTTCCTCCCGGAATGGAGGAATGGTCCAGAGAGAATGTGACTCGAACTTGCTCCCTAGCTGAGGTGCAGCCACTCTGTTGGGGGAGAGAGAGACGCTCGGAGCAGAGAAACACTGGGCAGTGTGAAATGAGCTATGGGGCTTGTGCCTGTGGGAGGGCCTTGCCGGCATAGACCTCTCCCAGCTCACTGCCCCTCCTTCAGGTGCATTACCAGGTCCTTCTACCGGAATGTGGTGGGTGTCCTACTGGTCTTTGATGTGACAAACAGGAAGTCCTTTGAACATATCTGCGACTGGCACCAGGAGGTCGTAGCCACTCAGGGCCCCGACAAGGTGATCTTCTTACTGGTTGGCCACAAGAGTGACCTGCAGAGCACGCGTTGTGTCTCAGCCCAGGAGGCGGAGGAGCTGGCTGCCTCCCTGGGCATGGCTTTCATGGAGACCTCCGCCAAGAATAACTACAATGTGGACCTGGCCTTCAGCACCCTTGCTGACACCATCCAGCAGGCCCTGGAGCAGGGGGACATCAAGCTGGAGGAGGACTGGGGGGGTGTCCGGCTCATCCACGAGACCCAAGTCCTCAGCATCCCCCCCAGGAAGCAGCCCCCACGTCCATGCCAGTGTTGACTCTGGGAGGGAAAGGATTAAAGCAGTGCCAACCTCAGAAGTGCTGCTGGGATGGGGTGTCAGTATCTTTCTGGAGAGCAAAGGGCAGGATGTATTTAAAGGGTTAATATAAACAGTGTCCTAGCAGTCACACCTTCTGGATTTTGGGGTTTCAGACCTCAGCCCCTTTCTGCCAGAAAGCTCTGAGAAGCCAGGTGTGCAGCTTTGTGTCCTTCAGCCTGTTTCCCCCGTTGTCAGTGGGGCTCATAGAAGACCCATGCCACGGGGGTGCGGGGGGAGGGTGGGCATGAATGAGAAATGGTTGGGGGGACATGCTCAGCCAGAGCCAGCCAATGACAAGAACTGTCCTCAACATTGTTTCCCCTCTGCTAATTCTGGCAACACTCCCGAGTCTGGACGCTGCTACACAAGCGAGGACGGGTGGGGAATTTCAGGGCAAGCCTACCTGGGAGCCTCCTTCAGTCCTCAGACTTGGATGAGTCTTAAATGTATGCCCTGAAACTCAGGTTTGCTGCCCAGTGCCCCCACTCCAAGGCTGGGCGCTGGATCTGGATCTGGGAGGCAGGGATGGAGGCAAGCGAGCAGCTCCTAGGTTGGGCACATAGTGGACACTGTGATTAGCCACCACAGCTGATTAGCCTTCAGAGCTACAGAACTCACAGCCTTGTACCCTCACCCTTCCATCCCCCCTCCCCCAGCTGCTGGGAGTGCAGCCAATGAAAGTAGGCTCAAAGCACCCTCTGGGAACTGCCTACCCCTCAGGGCTGCCCACAGTGTTGATTTGTTGAATCTACTGGGGTGGGGGAGTGTTGAAAGGCCTGGCTCCCTTGCCCCAGCTCTGACGGTCAGACCCAGCTTCATCACTCTTCATGGGGCTGACTGAGGCCATTGTTCTTAAAACATCACAGCTAAATTCTCCCTCTGCTCAGTCCCATGTCCCTCCCTTCCTCCCCCAAGCAGGTATTGATCCTCAAGAATCCTCTGATCAATGTCTGCTCACTAATCCTCATCTCAGAAATTGCCTCCTGGGGAACAGGAACAGCTAGGCAGAGACTGTCCTAGGGCAATCAGGGAAGGCTTCCCGGAGATGGTGTTTATGTTGGTAAGAATCTCAGCAGGTGTAGAGGGGGTCTGTTGTTGTGCTAGTGAGATGGGAAGGGCAGGGATGGCTCCACAGCAACAAAGAGCACAACCACTTCACTCTGTGACCTGGGGACTTAGTCTCAAGATTCCTCCTCAGTGTCGTATGACTGATAATTCCTTCTCCCTAGGGTTCTTGGGAGGTTTCCAGTCATGGTGGGTTTCTTAGCTTCCTCCCATGGGGCTGGGCCAGGGTGGGTCTCTCACTGCACTGCCTCCTCCCTGCCTCCTCTCTTAGACCACCACTCATCCTTATAGTCCTGCAAGGTTGGCGCGGATTACACTCATTTCACTGATGGGGAAGCTTGGAGAGGGAGAGGGACAGACAGGGACATGACTTGTTTTTGAGAATCTTACCATCCCTTCAGTTAAAAAAAATTATCTATTCTGTTCTGGACTCTGAGGATGCAGCAGTGAACGGGACAGAAAGCCCTCCTGGGGTTAACATTCTAGTGGGAAAGTGAATGAGTAAATAATGGAACCATATGATTTCTAGTTGTAAGTACTACAAAGCCCACAGATCCTGGAGACTGGCCTGAGAAGGGTGGGCCTTATTCAGAGGTGTTGATCAGGGATGGCCTCCACGAGGCAATGACCTTGAGCTGAGAGCTGGGGGAGGGCGGAGAAGGGCCCAGATAAGAGCAAAGGTCTGGCCTGTAGGAACAGTGGCCAGCACTGAGTACTTTTTATGTCCCTGTGAGGTAGATACTAGTTTTTTTTAAAGATTTTATTTATTTGTCAGAGAGAGAGAGAGCACGAGAGGGAGCACAGGCAGACAGAGTGGCAGGCAGAGACAGAGAGAGAAGCAGGCTCCCTGCCGAACAAGGAGCCCGATGTGGGACTTGATCCCAGGACGCTGGGATCATGACCTGAGCCGAAGGCAGCCTCTTAACCAACTGAGCCATCCAGGCGTTCCGAGGTAGATACTATTGTTCCATTTTACTGATGTGCAGACTAAGGCCCAAGGAGGTTAACTGAAGCCAGTGAGCAGAGGGAGAAGCCCCAAGGCGAGGAACAAGGAAAGGGCTGGGCTTTTTCTAAGAATTTACTGGAGATCTGAGGAGCTAGAGTAAGTGAAGAAGCAGGGAGTGACATTCAACTTGGTCTCTGGTTTCTCATCTCCCAGGTCTTCCCTGAACAGGACTGCAGGGTAAACCAAAGCTTGTCTGGGAGATGAGCAGCTGGTCCTGCAGATGACAGTGGGGATTTTGCTGTCAAAACCTCCCCAAATCCCTGAAGAGAGGAAGAAAAAACTGACCTTTTCCTCTGTCCAAATCCTGGGTGGGCACTGGAGGACCAGCCTGAAGTCCAGGCCCACCCCAGGCTGGGTCCATCACCAAGATGATGTTGCCCACCGTCCCCAGCTGCCTCCCTTGAGGACTGTTCAGCAGGCTGCAGTCATACATCTCTAGCACTCCTCGGCCTCAGTTTCCCATCTGTGAAATGGGGAGAACAGTAGTTTCTGTCTCGCAGGGTTGTTGTGAGGATTAAATGAGGTATTACGTGAATTCCTACCACACATGTGAGCTCATGCATCGTGGGCTCTTTCAGTGACTTATTAACCTCGAAGCAACCCTGTGAGGTGGGGTTGAGCTTGTCTTTTCACAGACAGGGACCTAAAGTCCAGGATAGGAAACTAATGTGGCTCGGGCCTCCTGCACTGCCACCAGCCAGGCCCAGAAGGTCCTACCTTGTGCCTCAGGGCTCTGGTCCTGCTCTCACAACCCCCTGCATTGTGGCAAACCCTTTGCGGACTGCAAGAGGCTTTGATGGGTAGGATTCTGGCAGCTGTAGGCAGCCAGCCTGCCCATCCCTCGGGCTAGAGGAAAAGCAGAGAAGAGCAGTGGAGGGGGCCAGGCCCACCTGCCAGCTGCGCGCCGCCCCACCCTGCCCCCTGCACTGAGTGTCATTGCTGTCCCAGTTCGGACCCCAGGCCCCTAGTGGAGATTGTGACACCCCTCTGGAAGGCTGTAGGGTGTCCCCTGTTGATTCAGCATCCACAGTGCCCCAGAGGGAAGTTTTTTTAAAGTACATTTGACATGGCTGCTCCCCTCCCAGAATTCAAATCATCTCCCCATAGTCCTGGCCCTTCCTGAGCCATGCGTGTTGCCTCTCCCCCTACTTTGCCCTGACAAATTCTGAACCACCTGCAGCCCTGGGCTTTGCATGCGCGGTTTCCTTCCACTGGATGGCCCCAGCCCTCTGCGCTCTCCCTGTGTGACTGGATTGGCTTGTGACACTCAGATAAGTATCACTTCTTCTTAACCACAGGGTCATCCCAGCAGCCTAAATTACTGTGGGCTTTGCATTCAAGCCTGGGTTTGGCTCCCAGCTCCACTATGTGTAACTGTGGGAGCCTGGGGAACTCCCCTCATCTCTGCAAGCCTCAGTGAACTCTTCTGGAGGATGAGGATCGTAATGCCCAACTCACAGGATTTTAGAAAGGATTAGGTCCCACCTAAATGAGGGGCAGTGCTGGTCACACAGTAGGAATTCACCAAATGGAAGTCCCCCTTTTCCCCTGAGGTTTTATTCATCACTGTCATGACGAGACTACCAAAGTAAACACTGTGGGGAGATCGCGAGGACCCCAGATTCTGTTAAAGAGTTCTTAAAAATCATTACCCACTTCTGGAGACATGAACTGGTTTCTGCTTCCGTACTAGGAGTGAAGTTCCAGAATAGTCCCTTCACGTCTATCTCTAGACTAGTCTGAGCAAGCAAAACTCCCTCTCCCAAGCAGCGCCCCGGCTAAACCCTCCAGCCACAGCAGCTTTGGCAAGGTCGGGCTTCCAGGCCTGAATCCACGCCTTTTGAAGGCACACAGCCAATCTGCCACCCATGGGAGCCCTTCTGAAGACCTTGCCCATTCTGGGAGCCTCTGAAATTTAGTGAGTTAAGAGGGAAGACCCATCCTGCCCTCCCCACACAGTCTGGAACTGAAGACGTCCAGGTAGAAGCCCAGCCCCTGTCCTCTACCTCTGAGCCTCAGTCTTCATGGTAAAATGAGAACAATTCCTACCCCCCAGTTTTGTTAGAGGATTAAATAGGACACTGTTAAGTGCCCAGTGTTAAGTTCCTTCTGCTAACAAGCTCCCTTTGGGTCTTTCATGTGTCGGTCCCCTGTCTGGAATGTCCTTCCTCCATCTCTGTCAAAACTCTGTCCTTCAAGGCTTGGCCCAACTCCGTTTCTTCTCTGAGCCTTCAGGGAACCTGGAGATTTCCGGCTCTGTTGTCTACATCATCTTGCGCCCCCCCCACCCCCACCCCAGGCCAAGACTGTAGCTCTTCGAGGCCATGAGAAGGATGGACAATGGACCAAGACCACAGGTCTGAGTCCCCTCCTGCCCAGGGACCTCAGGTCATAACGACCTCTTCAGACCTTAATATTCTTACCTGTAAGTTACGGGGCTGCACTGAGTGATGCTGGGAGTTTTTCTTTTTTAACTACAGATAACTGTGAGGCTTCAGTCCATGTCTGGCCTCCTCCTCCCCGCTTCCCCTCATGCAGGCACAGGGGACTTTTCAGGATGGCTTTCTGGTCCCAGATGGCCCCCTCTGTGCCCTCAAAACTCAACCGTGTTGTTGCAGCCACTCTCTACCTCTATCTTTTGGTTAATGCTTTCTCAGGGAAACCTCGCATGCCATATGCCTTTACTTTCAGTCTGAACTAACTAACTAAAGCAACTTCTTGGCTGGACCCCCTCCCCCGTTTCCAACTCCATTCTCCAGGCCAGTAGCCCGTGCAAGGCTTGTAACATGTAAATACAATCACACCAGTCCTCCACCTAAAACTCCCCGGTCCCTAGCACCTGCAGTTTTCAAATGTTTTGTTTATATACCTATTTTTAGCACCAGGATCCTCTTATCAGATGCAGTCTTTCTGTTAGCCCTAAAATGTCCAACAATTAAGACAGGTATTACTCAGGGGTACCTGGGTGACTCTGTTGATTGAGCATCTGACTCTTGGTTTTGGCCCAGGTCATGATC